GAAGATGATACCTCGATGGCAAATAAATAACTAATCCAAACACTACAAATTTTATAATAACACGACTACATCTTCAAATCTCTAGTTGAGCCAATTTCTATCACCAATGTTTCTTCATTTGCTAATCTGAATATTTTTACTATCACCGGTGTTTCTGTGGTATCTTTATTTGTTCTAGCTACAAATGATGTATGAATAACCTTTTTTTTTTTTTTACCACCAATCACAAGCATTGACAATTACACTAGCAATAGCTTCCAATCCAGCTACATCTGATTCATCAAACGCTTCAATATCTTCGCAATCAAGATCCAAAACTCCAATAACTTTCTAAAGGTTAAACGATCAATTGTTCAATCGATGTCATTGGATTCGTAGTAAAAGTTAAACAATTAAAGCACTCACATCATTAGATCCTTTTAAAAGAAGTGGGACCACTATTTCCGAATTCGAATTAGAATCACATGCGATATGTCCAGGAAACAAGTGCACATTAGGAACAACTAGCGTCTTTTTTTGAAGCGCTGCTGTTCCACATACACCTCTACCGAATGCTATAGATGTGCATGCAATCTAACATTCACCATCACCACCACCTTCATCATCATCATCATTATCATAATCATCAAATGAATTCTTATGGAATCATGAGAAAAGTTACCTTTCCTTGAAAGGGTCCTAGGAGCAACGAATTAGAATTCTTGTTAGTCGGATCCGTAATGTAGAATCCCACCCAATTCAAATTAGAATGAATTCTCGTCGCGCGAAGTTCGTGCCATAATAACGAGGATACATTTGCCAGATTGGTTACCTTATAATTATTACCTAAAAATATGAAGCTATTGAAAATTACAAAAAAGATCAACAAAAATATTACCCAAAATCTTTGTTGAGCAACCAATGATTTGGTCTGCTCGACAAGTTGTTTGTATATCACAATTTTATCGGTCATAAAAAAATGTTTGTCGTTTGATTTTTGTAGGATGATCCTTTTCGCATTAATACATTAATAGATTATATAATAGATTATCAATCGTTCGTGTGTGGAACGGTCAAACCTATGGTCACTTTCCATAACGGGGGTTTATTATCAGAATTAGTTATCGTTATGGTGGGTATGTCTTTAAGTATAACACAAGAATCATTTGTCATGCCAAGAATTTTTCTCGTTCGGATTTTGAATTCGAATTTAACTTTTTATGATGATCTGAAAAGAGAGACGAAAATAGTTTGCATTGAACTTTTTTTACGTATAAAGGCAACTCATACAAGTAAAAAAGAAAAATCCACGATCCAGGAAGAGACACGTACCTCATTGAAACTGCAATTTGGCGTATCTGTTGATGATAGAGAACATAAGTTTAAGTTTTCTAAAAGAGAAAATATATTAAAGTTTCCCGATTAATTCTCGTTTTTTTTTTTTTTTTACTTCGCATCATAGACTCGTTCGGGGTTAATGCATTTATGATCTGTTTTGTATCAAAAGTCACATGGCGCGTTGCATTACGTTACTTCATTTAAACTCGTAATTACATACAAACGACCAAAATATCGAAATCTCAAGAAAATAGAATAATTAAAAATTTGTGACAAGGAACTAGTAAGGAAATTCTTTTTTCGGAAAAAGTTAAGTGTCTATTGCTTTTTAATTCTACACAAAATACCGTCGTAGCACACATTGTTTGATTGTTGCAAAATCCATTCATGTACACAAAGACTACGCATAGAAAACGACATTATCTTTGCTTTTCTTTGCTTGCCACTGCAGCGAAGCAAAAATATGAAACGAAACACACGAACCACGATGCATCAATTGCATCATCTTCACCATATTAACAATTTTTAATAGATAATTGTCAATATACGCATCGAGAAAATCCCATCATTATTTTCTTGGCCTCGTCTTTACACTTACAATCAAATATTTAAATATTTGAAAACCTGCCTACAGATTAATGGTGTACGTGTGTCTGTATCAAGTAATAACTGTATCTTACATGAAAGAGGAGTATATTTCAGTTTCTTCTGAATCAGCCATCTAAAAAAAAAACTCGAGTATATGATGCATATTTATAGCAAATCTTTATGACAGCTTGGCTGACTAACACATCAATCGTAAAGAGTAAATAAATAAATAAGTCCCTCCTCTTTCTTCCACTTAAAAGCCTCACATTACATTAATTACTACCATCTTAAATTATTATTTATTTATTTATTTATTTATTTATTTCCTACGGTTTATATAATAATTATAAATAAAGTTTTACAAAATATTTTTCATAGCCACGCGCGCGTCCTTATTATAAATATCTGCCTCCGCATAACTAATTAATTTACACTGGCACGAACATATATATACATATATATATATACATGTATATAAAATAGCACCATAGCCTCATCATCGTCGTCGTCCTAGGCATGTGCATCGGCAAGGCGTGAACACCTACTAGAAAATAACAAAAAAAACCATCAACTTATCCAAACGCGTAAACCTTGGTTTTTCTCCTTAACTAAAACAAAAAAAATAAAGCCTACGTTTTTTTTTTCATTTAGTGATGATTATATAATTTAATGAAAAGATTAATGAACAAAATAAATAGAAAATAACTCTAGTATTAGATTTTAAAACTTCTTTAACAAGATTAGATACCTGCTTTTCCCTTCTCGCCATTATTATTAAACGCACATAAACTATTTATAATATTTACAATCTCATAGAAACACACAGAAAATAAAACCAAACAAACAACGACCTAAGAGACGATTTATAGATACCGGAAGAGCGGCTGATACAATATTTGTCGAGTATCGTTTATCTTTTCTTTTTTTTTTTCTATGAAGTAATACAAAAATAAAAAAAATGGGGTTAGTAATTATTTTTATGAAATAAAGCGATTTTTGTTGTTTCTCTCGGTGTTGTCTTGTCTAGAGGAGGAAAGAAAAGGGTATTGGTGAGGGAATGGTGATGGTGGCTGGTGGGAGAATCTAGCGACAGCAATGAACTGCTAACGGGGATGGTGGTGGTGAAGGTGATGGTGTTGGGGAAAATAATTCTTCAACAAAATCAAATAATAACCATTAAAATAATCAACACTCCTCATAATAGAACACCGAGTACCACTCATTGGGTGTTTTGGTATTACTCACCGGACGATGATCGAAAATATTGCGGATACCTGTGTATAATAACTTTCTCATTGGTAGGACTACTACTGATCACGCTATTCGGATGCTGTCTCTATCATCTGGCGATCAAGAAATGTCTGAGAAGAAATCGACGAAAAATTCAAACCGAATCCAGCATGCGAATAAAAAAAGCCTCACTTTCATCTGCACCACCGAACTCGCAACAGCAGCACGATTATTATTATCATCCGCAGCCTGGAAACGGTCGGTTCCCGTACAACAACAACAATAATAACAATAGTAGTAGCACTCCCGATCATGGAGATTTTTATTTTCCTTCGTTATCTGATGTTAATAATAATGACGGCAGCAATAACCAGCAAAACAGATTCATGAATTATAATTCATCGTCATCACCTACGATATTATACGAATCGATACCGCCGCCTCCTGCTTACTCTTCACCGTCAGCCTATTATAATCCAAATAATAATAAAAGCAGTAGTAGTGGTGGTAATAATAATAATAATAGTAATAATAATAATAATAGTAGTAGTCGTCAACAATACTCAAGAAGAGTCTCCATTTCCACATCTTCGGTCTCAAGGGGTATTAACAATTATTATAACAACGAAAGAACGCATTATGGACGTCGATTTTCTACGTCATGGGTTAATGATAAGAATAGTAGTAATAATGTTAATATGATTGGTATTAATAATGATTACCTCAATTCTTATCCAAAAAGAATCTCTACTGCATCATTAACAGGGACAAGAACTCGCACGAGAAAAGCTTCTGTGTCATCGATGACACCTTCGCGCAGAGGATCAATAAGAGTTAGTGAGTACGAGGCACGTGGAATAAAATCATGCACTGAATTGATAACTGTCGATATAGGAGGTGTGAATGAGGAGGACGAAGATCTACAACAGCAACAAGAACAAGAAGAATACGATGATGACGATGACGATGGAACCACCTTAGCAGCAAAGGATGAATCCGATGTATCGTCAATAATTTCAGATTCGATGGTTGACACTAATAAATTGTCATCGTCTCCGCCTGGCACTAAAGACCTGATCGCCGCCACAGATAAAGCAGTTGCCGCCACAGATCAGGCTTTCTCCCTTTACCGAGCTCGACGTGAAAGCCTAAAGAAATTCTTGGAGAGTAAATCTTTGGATGTTAGTATTGATGATGATGCTGCTGCTGCTGTTGATGTTGTTTCTTCTGTTATTGCTCCATCGTCACACGAACAATTTTTTGGTATTGTATGACGATTACGATGAAGAAATCACCGCCACCTCCACAATGACCATCACCACCCCCTCACATCAAAAACTCCAGCCACTACAACGACGACCAAAGAATTAATTTGATAATCATTAAACAATGCTAGATGTAATAAAGTGTGTATTCTATTTTATATCTAGTCTTTTTTGTTCGCTTAGTTTTTTGTTTGATGTAATCTGTTGTCCTTGTCGTTCTGCTGTGATAACATTTCTCTAAAGAAAATTACTTCCTTTTCCCCCCCCCCCCAAAAAAAAGCCAAAGGTATATTTATTTATTTTTTTTGAACATTTTATTTTCTGATTTTATTAAAAATGTATATGTATTTATTGTATTGTGTGTCCATTTGTACCTATATGAAACGAAAAGCAATGTCAAAGGAAAAATTGCAATGATTATTTTCGTTAGCTATCGATACCTTTTCGTTATTTCATTTTATGGGATATTGATTGAATCATTAAATGGTTTGATTTTTGGTTCTAGAATAAATACTTTAATGAAAACACAGTCAGTTGCTTTACGTAGCCTTACTTTTTAAATGCTGTTTTTTCTCAAAAGATATATCATCCTTGGGAAAATTTTCTAGAGAAATTAGATTAGTTAGTTTTATGGAGAAAAAGAACCTTACCTATAATACATATCGATATAATTATAGCGATAGTGCTAAAATCTAATTTAAGACGCGGAGATATTGCATAACGTAGATCCCTCCCCCCGGGAAGGGGAATTTTCAGAATAGAGTGGAAGAGTGAATATTTTATTTTTAGAAATAGATGATACCATGAGAATTGTTTAATTGATGTATCATCAATAAATTGTACATCTTTGTTATTATTGTGTTATTGGTTTTTGGTTGCGACTCCAGAAGTTGATGAATGTTGATCAGGTGACTTAGATCCAACTTCGTTCGATAAACTCTTCCTTTAAAATATATATATTTATCTACTGTGTGATTACGATAGACATGCATGTAAATGATCATGCATCCAAAAGATTTTTTGAGCTCGATACTATGCAGAAATTTTCGTTATCATCACATTTTTGGGGAGCCAAAATTTTAACGTTAATTAAATTTAGAAATAGCAGTTAACTGACGGAATATTCCCAATAGTCTGTGAAAACATTGCTTTCCAAACAATTATGAATGTGAATAATTCTCATGGGAATCAATACACATAACCAAAATAAAATTAAACTTTTGTGCACAACTAAAAAGGAGTTAATCGGTTTTCGTTTTGACTCGAATTTATGATAGCTTTCACTTTTGCAAAACAAGAGATGATCTTTTTTTATTTGACGTGCTCATTTTTAGGCAATTTTAATAGCAAATTGATGAAACCTATAACTAGATGAGCCACGAAGTGAAATTTACTTCGGATGACGGTAATAAGAGTTTAATTTATAATACCGACGACTTTAAAATAGAAGTGACAATTACACTTGTCGCTTCAAAAAATTTGTAAAATAGAAATGGCAATTATTACCCTTGTCGCGTTTAAGAAATTTGCACAGCACAATAGAATGTGATAATAATCGCACTGAAGAGGCAAATTCCCCGAATATAATCTCGAAATCAATCACAAGCATAAAAATAAAAACTAACCGATTAACCAGGGAATGAAAAATGAATATGTACGAATCCAAGCAACCAGCCATTGCTTATGTAATATTCTTATGAAAAAAGATATGAAAGATTATGTATTATGTTGTGCTGCGATTTTTGATCGTCTAACAAATTCAAAATTTTTCGTTCTGAATTTTGATAGTTAATTAATCGATAGTCATATCCTCGCCTGTGTCTAACGCATTTTGAGAATTGTTAGTATAAAAAACATTTAAGTTTTCAAACTGCAAAACTCTTAAGCAATTTACCGCTATATGCAAATTTATTTCTTGATCATTAATTGGGAACGTTTTTACTTGATTATATAACTTTATCAAGGAAAAGGTTACAATATTAGAAATAATTTCAATTAAGATATCATACATCAAATTGAAAATTGTCTAACTCGCCTTTAGATAGCATGATAGCAGATATTTATATAGCTACATGAGCGTCCAGCTCGATCGCAAATAGATATTTTGATCTGTAAATCGTCGTTAACTACCTGTAATTTTGCAGGTGGTTACAGGAGCTTTTACAGATGGTCACAGAAGCACCTGTAAAACATCTGTAATCCGTTACAAGTTTACAGTGAAAAATTCACATTTGATATTTTTCAGATTTTTTCAATAACCAAAATCCCTCTTGACCCGAAAATTGAAAATTAGGGAGACCTACCAAAAAATTTTTTTGCGTATGTAAAAACCTGTAACGGTAGCCACGGATTACAGAAAAGGATTGGTGTCTTAGTAGTTTTTTGAAGGAGTTTCGGATTTTCTAGTTGATTTCCAATAATACAGTAACACTCTTTTAAATGCATATCTTATAAATGCATAACTTCTTAAAATGCATATTTTCAGATTTTTTTGATTATAATAGTAAAATTCATAAACTTACTACATGACTTTCCTGAACGTATACTATAATGCTAGTTCCGATGATATGCAATTAGAAAAGTGTGATTGAATTTAGAGCTCATTTGGAAGTATGGAATAAGAAAAATCCCTTATAAGTGTAAAATCGTTACAATTTGAAAAAAATGTCAAAAATGTGTGTAATTTTGTAACGGATTACAGGGATTTTACAGGTGCCTCTTTAACCACCTGTAAAAACTACTGAAATCTTTTGCAAAAATTACCAGTGGTTATAGGGATTTACCGATCATGGGGATAAATTGGAATTGAGATGTGATTGTAAATAATGGGTATTAATTAAAGACAATGTGATTATATATAGTTATGATTCTACATAATTTAGATCGAAGCACATGCTTTTAATTTTTTTAATAAGAGAATTATATTGTTACGATAAATATTTAATTTCCACTGTCTCCCATCCAGAAAACCGGAAAATTCTATTATTAAAAAACAAAGAAAGAATTTCAGTGCATGAATGAAACTTTGACGAATTTGCTTACCCATGATAAGATTCCATTACAAGTTCCTTCCAAAAACAAAGCTCTCGAATATAACAAAAATTTTAGATAACGAAAATGATAGGCTAACCCAATATATCGGAATAATTGAAAATTTTTTTTGATTTTTCCATGCCCCTGTTATCTACCTGTTATCCATGACTACTAGATCAGGTTACTGCATCCAATCATGTGGAGGTTTTATGACATTACCGTTACATAAGCGCGGTGAAGTGACACGGACCTATTGTTGTATGTTAATACGTAATTTTTTTCATGTGCAGTGGCGCGTGGAGATAATGATAATGATCTTTTTTTCGAAATTGATACCTTTTGAAAGATGTTTTTGAACTTTTCCGTCAGGATTTAATCGGTTGAATCTATCAAGATTCGTAAGTATCATTTTATTTTTGTTGTTGATGAGGTAACGCTACGCTTGTTTCTGGTATTACAAAGGGTTGAAATGACGTAAAGAGATTCAGGATTAAGCTTTCTAGGTCAAAAAAATTATGATTTGCCTCCTACGAATGTTGAATGAAGTGATTGTTGTATACGATCTAAATAGGTTAAGAAAAAAAAAAAAATAGAGTAAGAAAAAAAAATAAAATTCACGGGAAAAACAAACAGCAAACAAACAATGATTTGCTTTTTTCCCTTCCCTCTATTAAATCGTAACGATTATTTAAAAAGAGTATATAAATAAGACAGTAAATAAAGAAATCTTGAAATCCCATAAGAGTAATTTTTTGTCCATCAAAACGAAAAAAGCAACTATCCATAAAAAAAATAAATGCACAACATTGATCGAGCAAACCGCAACAGCATTCCCATCCATTTTACTACAAATAAAGGAAAATCAAGTCTGTGCGTTATATTGCACATATACCTAGAAAAACCACGCGCTATGTATGGTTCGTGCTGATTAAACGTCCGATACGCGCGAAAAATTAATTAAACATTAATTTTACTAAATTAATATTACTAGACCCAAAATCGACAAACTTTTTTTTTTAGTTTATACTAATTTTATGAGGGAAAAAAAAATTTTTTTTTTACAATACATGTTAATATAAAAAAATTTCATTCAGCCCTGTACATGCAAGAGATTAATATATAAATTTTTTTGACAGTTGAATCGCACAAACAACAAACAAATAGGTTGACTAATCAAACATCCCAACACACAAAGGGAATAAAGAGAGAATGAACATAGTAAAGACCAAAAATCTTTGCACGTGAAGATAAACAATTCCTGATTGCGAGCTTTCTTTTGACAGGTCTTATTATTGTTCATCAACATAATATTGGTAATAATGTGTAGTTTATTTATTATTATTATTATCCATCATTATTTGATTCGATTTTTTTTTGTTTTGTTTATTAAAAAAAAATAAAAAGTTTGAGTGAAGATTTTTGCGTGCGAGTGTATAAATTATACAGATTATTGATGTCGTAAAATTTTAAGTTTTCATCGCCTCTGACTGTTTTAGATTAATAATATCACTATACAAAAAAGTACAAAAAGAAAGTTTCACGCCCGCTGAAAAAGGATTGCTATTATCCGGTTTTTCGTACTTTTTTTTATATATCCCATTTAAAAAAGAAGAAAACATTTACCTCAATAACCAAATAATTAATCCTTCGAAAAAAAACTAACCAACCAACCAATTAACAATAAAAATGGAACATCAAATCGCTGGTGAAATTCACACTATAGTTCGGAAATATTTTCGTTTACTCTGTCTACAAGGTAGAAAAAGAAAATATCTTTTCTCCACCCCACCCTTCTTATTCTATTAATCATCTTTATCTGACCTCTACGATTCCCAGTCGACAAATATCTTTCATATATAGGTCGTTCACTGGAACCATACGCAACACAAAACGAATTCCTCTCACTAATAAAGCCAACACTAACTGACACCATAACCCTGCATTTACCGTGCAACGGCAGCAAACATGTATGTGTGATCTCGAAATTCGTCGCCCGCGACGAAATATACGTAGCATATGTAGGGCACCTACAAAGAGAACTTGCAAAGGTGACGCGGTTCTACTCGTATCATTGTTCTCGTCAGCATTGTGATCAGAATGATCGAAAGAAAGTAGAGCGCGCGATGGAAAAACGGAAGAAAAAGACGAGAAATTTTAGTTGGTATGGTGGTAGAAAGAATAGGGATAATGGTCATGGTGATGAGGAGAAACGTGATTTGGTGTTAACGGAGTTGGTGGAAGCGAATTGGGTAACTCAGAAAATCGAGTTGAAGTACGCGGATCCATTCAAAGAGTATTTGTTTGTCATGTTTGATAAAGAGAGTGGCAGATTTATGGAGGTGTTTGGTGAAATGTGTAAGTTTAAATTTTCACTTCTCTCTCTCTCTATATATAAGTAATTGTCGTTTTTATTGTACTACGATAAAAGCTTACAATTAACATCATACATATGTAGCCGAAGAACCAATCTCAGAAACAACATTCGAAGACGTGATAACGCTCTGGATTGCTGTTCTAATTTGGATAGTTCAATTCCTCACCACCGGTGCCATACACCGTCAAACATCACGAATTACCGGGAAAATTGGGGGTGTCTTAATACAATAATCGAAATTGCGCTTGATTCTCATAGTGGGTTTTAATTAGTATAATAGTTATAATAATAACGTAGTATCAAAAACAAAAAAAACTGGAAGAATCGTATCCTATCGCCACCCATCACCCATTCCTCATCAACACAAAATGAAAACAAACGAACAATTTAAATAATGCTTTGTGTCAAAAAATTAATATACAATAATAAATAATAATAGTTGTTGCAGGACTGTACAGCTGCTGCTACTAATTATTGCTGGTTTCAACTGTTGTTGTTGTCGTCGTCGTCGTGGTATTCACTGTACTACCGGTAACAGTAGTGCTGACGACTTTCGGTGGTGAAATACCAAGAATTGGGTACAGCTGCGCTCGAATTTCTTTTAACTTCGGAATCGGGTCATCCCTAATTTTTTTAATTTAAATAAAAAATTAATAAATTCAAAGTAAAACTAGAAAATAAAAAAACATACCAATTAGTATTTGCCAAAATATCCTCCACTTGTATCCACGTCGAAGAATCGTTTTCACTAGACGCCTCTTCGTCATTATTCATTTCAACATCTTCCTCGTCAATGGATTCTGCTGACAGTGTTAAGTATAATTGGTCGGCTGTTGTTCGACGAATCTATACAAGTGATACGTTAATTTCAGAGAGTAACAAACACAAATAATAATGTCATGGTTTCGTGACGAGAAGTTCTAAACCAACCATCGGAAAAGGATGCACCAAAAATCCTAATAGCTGAAATAAAGCTTTATTTCGGTACGGTGCACCAAGTGTGACGAATCCACAGAAACTAAAAAATAATCCAGCTCAATACTAAATTCCATTTATGAAAAGTTGGATAACAACAGTATTATAATGATAACACAGACAACTCACATTCTCACACACGCCGAAATCTTGCGTATATCGCGAGATTTTACGCATTCTTTTCGCGTACGATCGAATAGCTCTTGAAAACTGCATAAAAAGTTAACAAATAAATAAATTAACTAGCAAATAATATTATTCATAACCAGAGAGAGTACAGTACCTGAATCCTTTTTGTTCGCTGTCATTGCTAACACTAACAACATCAGCAAGTTTCTGCAATTTTCCCACCTCAAGCAAAAGATCTGTCACTTCCAACAACGGCAACATCACACGATCTTGTCGTTCGTATGCACGATAAATATCCATTAACGAATTTGCAAGATCGACTAGTGTAATACTAGAAAATATCGTCGTTGGTGGTGATGAAATTTGAAGTGAGTCCGCATACTCGATTAATGTGCTACTTGAATATCGTATCTACAACAAAAAAAATAGAAAAATTTATCCGTCGATTTTTTTGTTGAAACAAATCAACCTAGATTCAAGATTTTTCTAAACACTTCATCCTACGGCAGATTCCCTGTCAACCAAACTTACCAATGATTCGGTCAGTCCACCAGCTGCTAATATTAACCCGGTAAGCAATTCGAATCGATAATCTTTTAATTCGAGTAGCTTTACCATACGCGGATATAATGTTTGAGGATTAGACCACTGGATCTCCTCGTCTCTGTGACTATAATAAAAAAAAATATAATGATTTAAAATTACAAAAATTGAAAAATATGAATCATTCAAGATCGAATTAGTAGCAAACCTTGGCAAAACCTTTTGCAAAAAATCTCGACCAGGTACATTCAACAACCAATCATCTTCTCTTGCATTATCATTTTCTCTCTTTTCATACAACAACTCAATCAAAATTTTCCCAGCGCAAGCACGTATTCGATCGATCCTTTCCACACTTTGTTTCAACAGACACGCAAAAACACGTCTCGTTAATTCATCGGTCCACCAATATTCATGGCAATTTTGATCATCACCATTTGTTCCTTGTATATCCAATTTTACGATAAATGGTACAAATGAGGCAAATCCCAACATAGAAACTTCGCGAATCCATGATCCAACATCACCACGTGAATCTGTGCTGTAATCTTCAAGACCGATGAAAAATGCTTCGACAAGTTTCATGAATATTTGTTTATTTGCAACTATTCAAAAAAAAACCAAAAATTGAGCAATTAAGATTGTAGATATATCAAAAAAGTGCATTTAACTACCTTTTTTAAACGAAGACCCTAATTTTAATGGAATATTCGTCAATGATATAATGGCGTTTCTTCTGGTTTCTGCATCATTCCAAGGTTTTATCTCCTGTTAATCATTATTTTATTGACAATATCAAAGACCATTAAAAAACGATCTATATGATATGTAAAGCGTCAAAACAATATCTACCTGTATTGTCGATGTTAAAACCAATGAATCAACAATCCGTTCCAAATATTCAGGTATTTTCGGGAAATCGAGAACACCGAGGGCCAAAGCGTACCCTCGACGGTGATACCGATTCTTTGACGGATGAGCGTTCTCGATAAATGTGTAAAACAGCAAAAAAAATAAATCAAGGAAAAATTATATATCTCTGCATATTTTCACTGTCTTCCAAAAATATTATTGATGCATTTGCAATCTGACATAAAGAGTAGCAAAGTAAAGGATATCTATCAATCTCATCAAACGTAATTCCGTACTGCTCGACAAGAGCTTCAACGGCTCTTACGGCAATCTTTTGTCCAACTTCGTCTTTACGCCCCATTAAATCATACACCACCTTTTTCCAATTAACCAGAATTTCATTGGTCACTGGCCACATAGCTCGGGCTAAACATGCTACGTAGTGAGCAGTTGCTTGGCATATGATGTCCGAGCCGAAATCAATGAATAGATTGTCTGGAATTGAATCGACGATGGTGCTGATTTCCTAAATATATATAATTAAGAGCAACAAGTTGTGGCGTAGTGAGATTTAGACTAGTGGTAATAGTTATATAATTTGAAGGAAAAATAATGCTTGCCTTGACTAAATGACGATGCTTCTCCATCCAATTACAATCACTGGTACCTTCGATTTGTGACCAAGCAAGACTAATTTCTCCGATTGCCATTAAAGTGCCGTGGCATGTTTGTAGATCTCCGGTCTTTGCTAGGGAAATCTTGAGTTTTTGCAATATATTATTGTCACAATTAATATTTTAAAATGAGAAACTGAACATTAAAATTTAATATATTACCAAACGCGGCAAAACGGTGTTCACCATATATTCGACGTCAAGTCTTGTTAGCTTATGCAACGCCTGTGCACACAATTCTCGCATGTATTTGTCCCAATTGACAACGGTGATTGTGCTCAGGTGATCGATGAGGTGTTTACGGTACTCTGGGAAACTGTATTTATATATGAACAAAAGTTTTAAGTAAAAAAAAAATTTCAATATAATCTTTTCTTTATTTGTAACTTATTATTATTTGAATATTACTTTGCTATTTTCACACTAATCTCCAAAAACGCATTTGTACGATTTCCGACGGTAAAATAATCCGCAGTGGTAATAATATCGATTCCATGTGGGAAAATACCCTATTTATTTATATATATATACACACACGCATTATACGTACCCATTCTTATTTTGTTAAAAAGGTAACAAATACAACAATGATATTGAAAATTTTTACCTGTCTTCCAACATTTTCCTGAAACGCAGCACTGCTTGCACGTCTCACATTTACTTCGCGATCAAACACCGACACCACCACCAGACTATTCGCTAGTTCAGCAACATATGGAGCGAGAACTTCGGGTGCATAAGCACGCGCAAACGACCAACACACATAACATGCTGCGTCTCGTACGTGTGAGCCAATTGAATATGAACCGCGTTTTAGATCAAATTTGAGTGCCTGAAAATAGATAATATTTTTAAAACTTCCTTTTTTTTGATAGATTTAATTCTTATTTATGAAACTTGTAAAAAGACGAGAAAAAACATATATATATATATATATATATATATATACCTTTGAAACCCACGCGGTAACTTCATTCAACCGCTTCGGCAACAACAATCCTCGCCTAGCCAATTCTGCGATCGCAAGACACGCACCATGCCACGTATTATCCGAAACGGCCGACATATCAACGACACCACCACTACGTACAAACGTGTTCTCTGAAAATAGTTCCAAAAGAGATCCGATAACGTCGTCAGCTAGTTCTTGAGATAAACGCTGAGCAATTCGGCCAATTCCTTTTGCGGCCGACCAACGAACTATTGTATCCTGAAAGTTTTTAAGGTGAAGCTCATGGAAATTTTATGTTGGAGTCAAGCTTGTAAAAATTGAATATTTACCTTGTCACGCAATCCATTCAGTAAAATTTCTATAATTTCTTCAATCTGTTCAGGTACCTCTTCTTCGTCCTCTGTTTCCTCGTCTTCTAATTCGCCATGTCCAATTGTCTGATTAATGTTTGACGGGTCAATTGATTTCGAGGTGATTATTGTAGAAGAGGGTGAGGTGGCAGCTAAATTTTCTTTTAGAGATCTATTTCCTAGATAATACATAAGCTAATTATATGTAAATAATATTTTGCATTCACCTATCCAATGTTCACAAACTCGTACAAATTTAAATAAGATCACACCAAATTACCAAGCAAAAAACCTTACCTCGCTTATACCGCCAGTTAGCAATTTTCGGCCTCAAAAAACACAACCCAAACCGCTGCGTCAATTTCACCAAAAGCTTTCGCACAAGAATGTTACTTGCAAAATTCTTGTTAAATTCAATTAGTGAAAGACATGGCCATGCAGTTGGGATTGTAGGCAGGAGGGTGGATCTTTGCCCTAATTTGTAGATTGCACAAAGTGAATCGAGAATACCGATTGCCTAGTTTACGAATTTTTATTTATTTAGGAATACTTTGTTATCTTGTATGAATTAAACATTTTTAACAATATACGCACGGTAAACACATTCTCATTTGTTTTTGCTTCTTTGGTTGCCCATTCAACATAATCCGCGAGATATGAAGCAGCAATATCACGTCTTTTTACGAATTGGATTTAAAACAAAGAATATGATTTAAGGCGTCACCACAATCCAACGTCATATAATTAATTATATTGAAATTATCAAAGACAAACCAAATCAAAACAAGACACAACAGAACACATAAGACACAAAAAACCGATACGAATGCGCCATAATCAAAAAATTACAAGATTTTTTATTAGAATATGCTTTGAATAATTAAATCGAATTTCAATTTGGCAGAATAAAAATAATGAGCGGATGATTTCACACCTGGTCAACAACCGAGAGAGAAGTACCGCTGCACCATCCCTCTCTTTACCGGTCACGTTCAAGTAGAATTTTGAAAGGCTAATTATGTGATCGACGAGCGGAATCTATGCGCGTTTTTTTAATAATACGTGACGTGACACATGCATATACAATTTAGAAAATTTAGAAAATTAAAATTCCGACATTTTTTAAATATTTGTAGAACCGACAACACACGCCCCATTTTGAATACCATTAACATATATATGTGTATAGCGATCTTCACCTTATCATCATTTTTATCCAAAGCGCGACTATCTACCGTCCTCAGATCAAATGGAATCATACAAATCAACGACAACCAAATCAACAGCACATAACGCGTTTCCCACGCATCGTAGTCTTGTGGATCGGTTGCAACCAGGAAATAGAAAGTGGGCTCTAAATCTGACACTTCATGTGTAAAAAATTTCACTTTTAAAAAGGACATTATAATTAGATCTGGCCTGTGACAATAATCAATACTCAATAAGTAACAACACATAAATACCAATAGTTTTGTATCCACGTATTTTCATAGTATAGTACAACAATCGAAACAATCTTTTCATAGTTTTTGTCACGTGAAACGATGATGATCCAGATGTATTAGACTTTTGAGTCTCTGCAAGATTACTGCCAACAATAGCAGGTGCTGTCTTACTTAGAATGGAACCCTGAATATTAACTTCTTTTATATAAGAACGTAAGATTTCAATGATTGGTTTAACCATGTTCTCTAGATGCGGATCAAGCAAGTAAGGTTGTTCTTGATACGGATCAATCTATTATTGTTATAATAATAAAATCAGCTCTTAAATATTTCAATTGATGATTATTAGATATCGTTGTTGTTGGCTTCTCTAACACGAAAATCTTTTATCTTGAATAACTACATACGAGCCCTATAAGTTTCTTCAAAACTCTATCCTCGTCAGCTTCATTATCAAGTACTCTTTGTTCTTGTAGTTTATCTTCCTCGACAGTCTTATTAACATTTCTAGCACGCCCCAGTAACACTTTAAGATTCGCGAAAAACTCGTCAGCCTGTTCAAAATGCGACGCGTTTTTCACGCAGGACTCATCCTCAAATGCATTCTGGTTGGTTTGTGAAAGTTCTATTGCTTCTCTATCTTGGTCCCAGTGATCTGATACCATAATAACAGTTTTGAACAGAAGTACATATTTTTTTGATACACTTGTTGCCTATTTACATGGAATGCATTCTCATGTCACCCAATCAATCCAGATTATTTAAATCACGTGACAGCTCATGAAGTCTAACATATACAGATAAATCTTTCTAAATGCATAAACTATATATAGCTCCTTTCTATAAGCTTATAAGAATCTATATATTTTGAACTTAATACTTTTTATTTTTTTTATTATAATTAAGAAAAATATATTTAAAAAATTTTTCTAAATAATCAAATTATTTATTAATTATTATTACTTTATTTAACTTGATTATTTTTTATTTTATAATAAGATTTTATATTTATTATATTTTTAAATAAATATAATTATATTTTCTTAATATATTTTTATAAAAAAATAATTTTTAATATATTATAATAATATATAATAATAATTAAAAATAATATATTAGAAATTAAATTTATTAATAAAATATAATGAAAATTAAAATTTTCTTTTTATATTAAATTTATAATTTTATTAAGAAATAATTTTTATTTTATATTAAAATAAAATTTATTAGTTATAATTTAATATTTATTTTTTTGATTTTTTAAATTTTTTCTGAAAATATTTATTTTAACTTTATAATTAAAATATTTTTTTTAGAAAAAAACTAAAAAATCTAAAAAAAATATAAGTTAAACTATAAATAAAAATAAAAATTATTTATTAATAAAATTATAAATTTTAAAATAAAAAGAAAATTCTAATTTTTACTATATTTTATTAATAAATTTAGTCTCTGATATATTATTTTTAATTATTATTATATATAAAATTTTTTTATATTTATTAATTAATAAATAAATTTTATTATATTAAAATATAAAATATAAAATTATTATATAAAAATTATTGTAATTAAAAAATTAATATTTAATATAATTATTTTTAATCTTAATTATTATTTTAATTTAATTAAATATAATCTGATATATTAATATCTGTATTTCAATTTAAAAGATTTTTATTTGCATAATACTAAAATCACATGCAATAATAGTAATAAGAATCATAACTAGCTGCAATTCTATCATAATTCTCTGATTAGCTATTATAACTCTATCACAATTCTCTGATTAGTTATCACAAGTTATAACTAATTAAAAAGTTATCTTTATGCAATAATCTAAATAAACCTATTTTTATATAATAAAATAATTATATATAGATATATTTTTTTTGTAAAATTTATCAATTTCTCATATCTAGTTCTTGCATAAATCAAATTCTTACATCATTAATAATGAATAAAAAATAAATAGTATTGAATATCTACAGATACTTTTTTAGAATTACATTCATAGATAAATAAAATAAAATCATGTTATTATATAAGTAAGTTAGTCTGATTTTAAAAATTATGAAAAGTATAATTAGAGTTATATTATCTGATTGGAACTAATATAATAATGGTATATTTATATCATATAAAAATCTTGAATAGTCTAAATCTCAACTAGATAAAGATATTATATCACTTTTATAAATTTACATTATGAACAGTAACAAAATAGGATAATAACTTTTCATATCTTTTTTATAATAATTTCTTTCTAAATATAGATACATACTTTTCAAGTAATAATTTTTCTAAATACTATAATGCAAGTCACTTATAGTCATCAAAATTTTAGTTAATTTTGAGATCTTATAACTTTATATATAATGATAGAATAATAATTTAACATAATATTTATAATAGAATAGCTATTTGAATTTCATATTTATAATTTCAAATTTTATATTTATTAAAAATATTTTGTATTATAAGATTTTAAAAATTAGATGTTTTATTAATAAAATTAAACTTTTGGACTATCTTCTATAAAATTCTGATAGATGATTATATGATAACATTATGATAATTTCAAACTTTTCTGATAAGCATATATGTATGTGCTGATAATTTATTTTTTTTTAACTAATATCATATTTTAGCAAAGCTAAATATATTATCTAGCAGCGTGAATAAAATAAAAGAGAGATTTATGATCTTTAAAATAATAAAGAAACTATTGGTTGATAAAACTAGTAATAATGCAAAGAATTTTTTTAGTGAGAAAATCAATAAATATATAATAATATATATTATATATAATTAAAAATTTTTTTTATTATATAATAAGTAAAAATTTTTTTGTCACCTATTAGTAGCAATTTTATAAATTTGCTTATAATTTTATATAAAAATCACATGCTATTATCAAAAAAAAATTTCAGACTAATGACACTTTTAAGTGATCTGCATTATATAATAATTAGATTATTATTATAGATAGAAAAAATAAAGAAATATTCTTCATGAGTTACTAAATAATATTATATTTTACTATCATTAACTTTATTATTATTTTGCTAATAGCTAGAATGGTGATAATAATAATGATTTATTTTATCAAATCTTCATTATACAGTTTAGGACAAATACCTAAATTCTGATATGACAACAATAACTGAGATTAAGAATGCAAGAAGTAAATAAAGATATAATCTTCTATATAGAAGATATCCACATATTGCTTAGAAAAATTAATCTAATATAAGTGTATCCTGCTACTTACTATGTTGAGTAATTTATAAAAGACTTGAAATCAGAAATTACCTTTTATGTAAATAAATCTAATCCAAATACTTTAGATGCAGTAATTATAAAAGTAATTAGTATAATCTAGCTATAGACAGACTTATCAGAATCCTTTTAGCTCTATATCTCTTATGCCACAAAATCTTGATATCCTCTTTATCATCTCAAATCTAATAAATAACATGAGTAAAGTCATAATTGACCTTACTAAACAAGTAAAGAAGTTGTTAACTCAAAATAATTAAAGTTCTAATAATCATCCTAATCAGAACAAGACTTGCTATAATTATGATAAAAATGGTTACATAGCCCAAGATTACAGATTACCAAAGAAGAATACAAATAGTAATAGTAATAATAATATCTCAAATATCAAGTACTTCAAATGTAATAAAATAGAATATTATACCAATAGCTATATAGAAAGAAATATGAATACTAAACAACTAGCTAATCTTGGAATTAATACTATCATCACAGTACCAGATAATAATTTGTTATTACAATAATTACAGTAACTTTTAGAAGAATAGTCTATAATATCCCCACCTTCTAATACTATTATTATTAATAATAGTAATACTTCGTATTTAAACTAGAATCCATATCTGAAGAAGATTAGAATATGAGTCAATCTTAAAAGTCTTCAATCACATTTTTATAATAATTACTAACTAAAATTATAGAAAAAAATAAAAATCTAGAAAAAAAGAATGAAAAAGTAGTAGATACAGTTTACTATGAAGAAAAAGTAGAAGACCAGCCTATCAAAATAATAATTGATAGTGAATTAGTCAGCAATATCATGTCAATCAGATTCTTAAAACAAATAAGAAGAAAGATTAATAGATCATCTAATATTAGTCTTATAGAAATAAATAGAAAATCAGAATAATCACTAGGAGAAGTAGAAGGATTAAGAATAAAAATTAGAAATCTTAGCCAACAGATAGACACTCTAGTTATGAAAAAAGCAGAGTATGATCTATTACTTGACAACCAATAGGCAAAATAATCCAAAGCTATTTTAAACTGAAATAAAGAACTTTTAAGTTTTGAAGTTAAAGAAGAGTCTACAATTATTCCAGTTACTTGTACTTAATAAAGATTAACTATAAAATTGATTAATCTCAAGAAAGAACTTGAGAGTTCTGTTCTTAAAGATAATGATAATGAATATGAATTTGAAGAAGAGGAATTAGTTGATTAGTCCCTATATATAGTACACAAAAAGTAAAGTGAGCAACTTGTACTGAAAATAGAAGTCCAAGAAAATCTTATAAAAATTAATGATAAAGTCATTGAACAAAAAGAAAAAGAAAGAATTCATTAAGAGAGATTAGAAGATTATAATGCCTGCATTCATAGTGAAAAAGAAAATAATTATGTTCAATGTAAGAAAAAATAAGATATATATAGATAGTTAGAGATACTACCTTAATTATTATTAAATACTATTCCAACTATAATCAAGTCAGACTTGGATCTAGAACAATAACAACATCTTTATCAAGTTCTGAATTCATATAAAGATTTCTTTGATACTACTCAGTCTGGTAGAATAAATATACTTTAACATAAAATATATTTAGAAGAAGAAAGATTTATCACTTTCTGGCTATATCATTAAAAATTATCTATGAAAAATGTCTTTCTAAAAGAAGAGATCCAAAAGATATTGAATAATGGAATAATATTCTCTTCTGATAGTTCTTGGTCAGCTTTAATAGTGATAGTTAAAAAGAAAAATGGGAAATTCTAATTATGTGTAGATTATAGAAAATTAAATAAAGTTATCAAAAAAGATCAATATCCCTATTATAAATTGATAAACTCTTAGATTCTTTCAAAAATGCTAAATACTTTACTACTATGGATCTTGCAAGTGAATTTTGGCAAGTTGAGATGCATCCAAGAGATCAAGAAAAAATAGCATTTATCACTAATAAAGAACTCTTTCACTTCAATGTCATGTTCTTTGAACTTACTAATATCCTGGTCATATTTCAAAGACTAATAAATAAAATCTTCAAAGAATATATTAGAAAGTTTATAGTTATTTACATCAGGAAATTTTTTGGGATGATTTGTATCAATTTTTATCATTAGTTATATATTGATATATATCAGAGTTATTGATGTATATTAAAACAGATATTTGATATATATTAATATATATCAGAGTTGTTGATGTATATTATTTAATGAAGTATATTATTAAATATCATTATTTAATAAAGTATATCGTTAAATATTATTGTTTAATAAAGTATATCATTAAATATCATTATTTTACAATGTATATCATTAAATATTATTATTTTACGATATATATCATTAAATATTATTATTTAATGGACTAGATTAT